TGTCAACCAGATGTTCCAGATATTACAGCTGCTGTAGCTACAGAGATCTTGTGGATTCCTTCATGCTTGCTCTGAGAATTCATTAGGATTATACTTAAAACACTGTCAGATGGCTCAAGAAGAGGCCATGATTAAGGTTCTGCTGTTGCCAGGCTCTATGTGGAAGGTTTCAGGACTTGGTAGCATGATGTTTTATTAGCCCTGCTGTGTTGTGGCCCTTCTAGGGTTGCAGTCAGATGGTAATGTGTGCATGAAATCTTAGACCCTAAAGCGATCTGTCTTAAGACTGACGTAACCCATCCAGACACTTGATAGATGATGCAGGTGACCCAGAGGAAAGAGGCTGCTGTAGTGATTCTCCCTTCTGACTGTAACATTAGAATCACTGGAGAGCTTTTAAAATCCCAGGGCCCACATAAAACCCCATAGAAATTAAATCAAATTAAATCAGTTGAGACGCTGGCACCACCATTTTTTTTGGGGGAGGGAGTACAGGGTCTCACTACACAGTTCAGACTCATAGTGATCCTCCTGTTTTCAACCCCTCCAGCATCTGGGATTGCAGGTGTGCACCACCACGTCCAGACTCTGTCAATGGCTCAGTGTGCCCCAGGGGCGGGGCTGGCATGGCATGCAGTACTGGGGATCAAACCCCAGTCCCTGTGCTTGCCTAAGCAGATGCTTAGTCTGCTAAGCTATCTCACCAGCCCTTGGCACCACCATTTTAACACATTCCTGCAGGCTTGAAGCACTGGTGGCATGTGCATGACTGTCCCATTGGAGACAAGCTACCTGATGGGATAGGCATGCACATATGGTGCCATTGTGAACATGTTTAAGGCCTTCTGGCTAATTCTGATATGTCCTAAACTTTGCAGTTTGTCCCAGATCATACACTCAGGAGTGGGATAACATCTTGGTTCAATTTTATTTTTAACCTGACCTTTATTTTAGAACATTATGAGAAATGAAAGATGAGTGGATACAGTAAGAAGCTGCTGGGAGATCGTAAGCCAGACAATTTCTATTTATTCTTATTTCCATGCCTACCTTTCATGGCTGATACATTCAGCCTGGGTCACGATGTCAAATTGTGCTTCATTTGGCCTGTGGGTCCTCCATGGAGCAGAGAGATTTTGGAGAGATGTGGTAGGGCCTCGGGTCCCACTCACTGCAGTTGCTGAGCATGCAGCAGTTTATTCAGTGAGTGTTTATGGAGGACGTGGTGTGTGCTGGGCATTGTCTGGGGCTCTGTGGATAAAATGGAAGTAAACAGATATGTAAGGCTCTGCCCTTCCAGAGTATCTCAGTGACTAAAAGGCCCAAAGACAAAAACCTCAGCAGTTCCAAACATCGTAGGGTGAAGGCAGTGAGGGGAACTTGTTCTATTCATTTATTCAGAACCTTGTATCTTCAAGAGAATTTGTGGCAGCAAAAAACACATAATGAAGTTGTTAGACTATAAATGAGAAACAGAAATCAAGATCAAGGAATATATAAAAAGGAGGGTCAAGATCAGAAGAAAATTTCATAGTTATGCAAGTCATAAGGGCCCACTTGGACTGAATTTCAAATTTAGTATCACGTATCCTGGCAGCCATATGAAAAAGGGAAATATGGTTGGGGACAGAGTACTTATGGTCAGAAAAGACTAGTTTCTTAGGGCAGGAAAGGCTTTCCCATCATTTAGCTCTTGAGGAAAGGTTTCACATGGAGCTTCTTACCTCTCTAATAGCCCTGAGACAACTACAAAGTTGACTTTATGAGAGTACCTTATAGCAATCCTGTAATACAAGTGAGAGCATGAAACAAATGCAGTGCAATCCATCCTTTTTGTTCAGGAGTGACTGGCCAGAAGTATGGTGATTTGGAGCAAATAGCGCTCATATCGATCGGTGACTAAGAGCTGGAAAAACTGGGCTATGGAGGGATCGGATCCCTGATAACATTCTTCATAAGCATAATTTCTCTTAACCAAGATTTTCATAAGGTAGATGACTATATTTTCTATATTCTGGTGTAGGGCTAAAGGATAAGTAGTCTGTGCAGTGGGTAATGTAACATTTTACTCCGGAGGTCAGTAAAAGACTAGAGAGTAGATACTTTAGACTTTGTAGGCGAGATGGTCTCTGTCACAGCTGTTTGTCTGTCCTCACTGCACAAAAAGCAACCATAGGTAACACGTAACTGAATGAGCATGAATGATTTGTAAGAACAGGTAGCACATAAAATTCCATATACAGGTCATATATTGCCAGCCCTGGTATAACCTAAGGCATAAATGGAAAGCATGTTGATATTCTTTTGTTAAAATTAAAGAAGTTTGAAACTTGGCAGTTCTTAGTTAGTGGTGATTTTGGCCTCTCGGTTTAATTAATATTATATGATTCATGCTGGAAAACCCAGCTCATGTTTGGGTTGCTCATTCCTTAGGGCCCTTTAAGAGCACAAAGCTCTCAAAATAAATCAGTACAACTGTTCATACATCAACATGGCACTGGGCAGACAACAGTCTGAGATGTTTGCAGCACGAAACTGAGATGCGTCCCAAAACTCTTGCATTTCCTGTGCAGAAGGAGAATTGTATTCATCACCTCAGCAATCTCCTAAGCAACGTGGATTCTCCATTAAATTCTCATGGTGGGTTTTCTAGGAAAGAGAGGAGATGCTGGACTATTTTCAGTGTACTCATACATGGTATTCATGTTTATCTTTTCAAGTGCAAAACATTTGTGCCTACCCAATGTAGATTCTAATGTGATTTCACTGTAAAAAGAAAAAGGGTTTAGTTATGGGCATATCAGTGTGTTGGTGGTTTTATTCTTAAATACCTCTACTGGCCCTAAACAGATCTAGGAGTTTGATTGTGTAGTGGATGCCCCCTTAAAGGGCTGAGCCCAGGAGGTTGTCAGTGGAGGTAGCCCCAGGTGATCCAGAGTCTGCGGCCACAGGTGTGTTGGGGCTACAGGCATAGAATTGCTTTAAACAATCTATAGATGAGCCAAAATCTTGAGCAATGTGTTACCTACTGGTGTCTCATATGGTGACTGCAGGCATTCATCTTAAAAATCAAAAGTAGTCTCAAAAGTTTATAAAATCCTTGCCATGAGCAGAATTGTGGAACCATTGGTTATTATCATCTTGAACATAATTTAGTAAATGATGCTTTTGGCTAATAGGTAGTTGGCTCATTGCTCCATTTAGAATTGTATTGACTATGTACTTCTCTGGTAGTTAAGAAAATACATCATAAGGGACACTGCCAACTTATGGAGGGCATATCCAGTGTCTTTATCTTCATATAACTAGGGTCAGTCCAAAACCTAGTCTATAAAGGCCATTCTAAATGATTTGTTCAATTAATGAATCCTAGGTAATATCCTACTTGCATAGCCAGCCAGAATAATTAGTTGACAATAAGGAGGAGATAGCTCACTTTTGGTTTTATTGAACCACTCTGAAAGAAACTACAGCTTTTTGTTTGGGAATTAGAACAAAATATGGCTTCGATCCCTGGGTCTGCTGTGCTGGCCCCACCTCTGGGGTGCGCTGAGACTACAATTGAGACTGGGCATGGTGGGGTGCGCTTGTAATCCCAGCTCTTGAGAGGCTGTAAACAGGCAGATCACTATGAGTTCCGATATAGTAGTGAGGGCCTGAATGCCCTGTGGGCCCTTCCCTAAAAATACAAAAAAAAAGTCTATAAAATGTGGAAAAGCAGAAAACCACTTAGATGTAATCATGCTTTCTTCCCCAGGATACCACCAGACAGGGTTTGGAGACAGGAATTAGTAGTCAAATTCAGGTAGCCAGTGTAATATAAATTTAATCTTAGCAAGCAGAATTTAAGGTCAGAGCAGTTTCAGGATGAATGGCTTAGAGGAAACCTCGACTATCAGCCACCTAAGCCATACACTTTTAAGGAGCAGCAGCTCACCACATATGTTCTCTCTCCCTTCTTCCCATGGTGCCTGACAAGATGCTTATTGACCACAATTACTTCATCAACTTTCTGTGAAAGAAACTGCAAGATTCCTTAGGTTCATAATTTTAAATTATCCCTGTCCCGAGTGAAAAGAAAGACACACAGTAGGGACATTACCAGCCAAAAAAAGAATCTTGGATAACACTAGTAGGTGTGGCCACAGCCCGCCCCGCCCCAGTGGCCAGGATATACAGGTGAGCAGGCACACACTGAGTGGGTGAGGTGGTGCGATCCTCAGAGCCAGGCTGAGGCTCCAGCCCTGAGCATTTTGTTGTGGGGGTTCTGTTGCTACCAGAAGAACATGGGGACAACGGAGGAGGGAGACAAATCTGAAGTCTCACATTAAATTGGAGTAATCTTTAAGTGGGTAATTTTTTTTACTGTAATAAATTTCCTTTACCTATTACATTCACGTGATTTTTTAAGTGATGTACTTTGACCTTAGCAACATTTATTATATGTCATCCTATCTTTGTTACCTCTCCTTTTTAAAAAGTCATTTATTTGGTAGAGGGTTTTGCTACATAGCTCATACTCATAGTGATCGTCCTGTCTCAGCCTCCCCAGCGCTGGGATTACAGGTGTGCAGCACCATGCACAGTTTTGGTGATGGCGTGGCAAAGGGCTGGTATGGCATGCAGTATCGGGGATCAAACCCTAGTCCTTACACTTGCCAGGCAGGCGCTTCGACCGCCAAGCTATCTCCCCAGCCCTACCACTCCTTTTTTTCTGATTTTTATATCACCAGACCAAAGAAACTCGAGCATCTGTTAATAGTTTTGTTCCAAATCCTCTGCCAATATGAACCACAAAGAAACAGAAATAGACTACAGAGCCACGTGGGTAACCTCAAGTAGCTTTCAGGTTTACCATACTTTGCTAGTTGGGTGAGTTTCCATAAACTGTCATGACTTGATGGGTTTTAGATCATTGATCCATGCTGAGTTCCACAGGAGGAAATAATTATTGTTACTGCATATTCACTTGCTCACTGACCCATTTTGGACTGTCTCAGGGCCTGAGGATCGTTTTCTCGGACGCGTCACGGCTCATCTTCCGGCTCAGTTCTTCCAGCGGTGTGTGGGCCACCATCCGGCTGTATGCAGAGAGCTATGAAAGGGATCCCAGTGCTCATGACCAGGAGCCACAGGTACAAAACAGAGCTGGGATCTTGGGACTGTTGTTTCCCTACTCTGGGAAAACTTAGGATCTCCAAGGAGCCTTTAGCAAAGGGTGCATTGATACCTTTAGGTGAAGGCAAGATCAGTGTTTGAGACAGAAAAATTGGCTTTTAGTATCTCTAATGAGTTCCAACCAGCATTGCAAAGCTCCTGTTTGAAAAAGTCTCCTAGGGCCTTAACAGGGGTGTGATTCTGGGCTTCCTCTCAGGTTATTGCAGCAATATCTTTCCCCCATGAGCCTCCTTACTCCCATGGTCATTTAAGCCCTAGACAGTACTAATGCCACAAATTAGACCCCACTCTAACATGGGGCATATCCTGATATATTGCTCCAATCACCTTGGTTGTTGTAGGCTGGGCTGTGCCACTGGTCCCAGGTTCCTTTCCCAGGCACCACTAGTAGGGAACAAGCTCACTCCTTCAAACTTCACCCACCCAGGCACCTCTCATAGGGACCTGGTCCTGCTACTAGTTTGTTTTTCTGACCAGAAGGTGAACAAGGATGAAGATAAAGGGACAAAGTTAGATTAGCACACAGGCAGACAGGGGGCTCATGCCCCTAGTTGGCAGAGGAGCCCGAGCCTCTGGCTTGTAGTCAACCAGACACAGGTACAAGCAATTAAAGTAACATAAGATTCACCTGCCTCGAGTTAGCTGTTCACACCTGCCCAGGTAAACAACTGACATTCAGTTGTATTGGCGTCCCCTGAACCCACAATCTGCCCTCACCCCTGCGTGATGTCTTTTTCCTTTGTGCTCACAGAGTCAGCCAATTAGGTCTTAATTCACCTCTGGTCTCCCACATCTCCTCCCTTTTTGTTTTTACAATAATATTTGAATATCAGTCAGTACCATTCATCTCTAGGGGATGCCAGTGTGTCCACTTTATCATTTATCTCAGGGTCTGGCCTTTAATCATGAGGCCTTCATCCGTGGCTGCAATGTACCTGCGGGCATTCACCGGTCTTGTCCAAATGCCCATTCCAACCCAGCTGTTCCCCTTCTAACAAGGTACCCCCAACTGCCATAGGTGGATGGAGACTGCTCTGGCATCTTCCAGCTGGAGGCCATAGTTGTGGTTGGCAGTCAGTCACCCCCAGAGGACCCATCCAAAGTCTCTTGCCAGGAAGGCTTTGATGGATGGGATTTTCTACCTCCTAGAGAGATGTCCCTGGGAAAAGGCTGTCACTGGTGAGGAGAATCGAATTCCTTCATGGGCAACCACACTATCCATCTATTTCCTATAACAATACAAACAATACAAACAAAACTCCTGCCCCTCCACTGTAGCGGTTTATAGTAACTACAGGAACTCATTTAAATTTTATCTGGGGCTCGGCATCACTCCTGCTGCACTGGAGCCTGTGCATTTTCTGCAAAAGTATAAGGACACATCATCAACACAATGTGCCATATAGGCCTGAGGGCATTTCCTTCAACAAAATATATTTTATCCTTGCAAATATTTTCTCAATGTTAATAAGTTGGACTTTTCTCTGGGGCTATGCATAACTCATGCTGTATCAAAGCACATTCAGGTTCTGCAAAAAGAAAGGTAAACTGCTTCTGAGAATCTAGAGCAAGCAGCATTCCACAGATTTAATACCATATGGGCTTGAATTTCTCCCTGCAAAATGCATTGTCCTTGCAAGTGCTTTCCCTGGACACACCACTGAACCATACTGACACAGTTTCCCTTACTTGACATATTAATCCCCCAACAATATTTAAAACCCAGTCACTCGTCTTAAATTCTGAGCTCTGCTTTCATTAACTCCAAGCCCCATCAGTCCATGTGATATTTATGTTTCTTTTGTCTTTTTCTTTTGCTGCTTTTTCCTTTATTTTTCTCACCTCTCACTTTTTCCTTTCCTCTGACACAATAATCCCCTAAAAATATTTAAAATCCTTGATCAATCCTCAGCTGCTCACTTTAGCTAACACAGCGCACATGGCCGCCGGCCTACGGCTTTCTAAGTAAAAGCCACTTCACGATAGGTACTGTCAAGTCCCTCGTTTTCCCAACTCTGCTCTTGACCAGCAGCTTCAGCTTTGACAACAGGTAGAAGAAATTAACCAGGAGACACCATCTCTTCATTCAGAAACCCAGATGTCATGATGAGTTTTGTCCCGTTACTCTGGCTTCTGATGTACACACTTTCATTTTCATCCTGACACATTTTTTTATTCTAAACTTTCACTTTTACTATGAACTTTGCTCCACTACTCTGACTGAGAAAGTTTTTCCCATGTGCTCCTTTTTCTTTGCCGCTGGCTCTTCACCTTGGTGGAGAGTTTTCCCGTGCCCACCTGCTCTTTCCTCTTGCCGTCAGTTCTCCACGCCTACTCAATGTTTTCTTTCTTTTCTTCTGCCCAGACTCCTTTTGCATTTCTTTTCTTTGGCTGGGCAGCTCCCTACCGCTTTCCACCTGCGCTTTATGATCTGGGTAGAGTGTCCTAGGTCAGGGTTTCCGTTTAGTTTTTCTTCATTCCCAGAGCCCCTGTTGCTCAGTCTGAACTTTCCTCAGTCTTGGGATCCTAGTTCTGGTGCCAAGTGTCAGAGACTGGCCTGTGCTTCTGGTCCCCAGCTCCCTGCCCCAGCTGCCACGCATGAGATACAAGCCACTCTGAGCTTTCCCCTCCCAGGTGCACTCAGTAGGGACCTAGTCCTGCTACTTTGTTCTCATAATCCAAGGGCTGATGAGGATGAATGACCAAGTAGCTAGCTTAGCATCCGGGCATGGGGGCACTTGGCTGTAGTTGGCAGACACACCTCCAGCCGCTGGTTTGTCTCCATTTTATGCACCCAGACCCAGGCAAAAGCAATTAAAGAAACACAAGATCCATCTGTTTCATGTTAGCTAGTAACACATGTCCAGGTAAACAATTTAATCTCAGCCATACTAGAATTTGCAACTTGCCCTAAGCCCTGTTTGATGTTTTTCTCTTTTGTGCTCATAGAGGTCAGTTAGGTCTTAATTCCCTAAGTGTCCTGCCATACTTGAGCTTAATTCAGCCTGGGTTTTTCATGATTCTCTGTGGTATGGATCTTTTGGCTGAAATATCTGCATCATTCTTTTTTGAAAAAGTAAAGAAACAGGGCCGGGGATATGGCTCAGTGGTGTACGTGCCTGCCTGGCAAGTGCAAGGTCCTGAGTTCGATCCCTGGGACTGCCAAAAATAAAATAAAATGAATTTTTAAAAAAGAAAGAAACTAATCTGCTCTTCATTGTAGAATGGTTTAAAATTCCTAGCTATAAGTTGCACTGGATGGAATAAGACACCAGGGAGGGCTTCCTTTTTCTGTAGTTTGTTTTCCACGGTTTCCTTTTTGGAAGAATTTCAAGGAACTTGGTCAAGATGGCACTAATGACATCTAAGTCTTATTCCTGACCTCATAACTGGAAGATCTGTCTGTAGTAATATCAACCCAGTGCAGATCCCAGGAGGTCTGGAGGCTGCACCCAGTCCGCAGGAGCATGAGCGGGCACTTAGAGCTCAGCGTTGTTGCTGGGCCTTCCACCCATGATCACAGGATTTCCATGCGGGGGATGGGGCCATGCTCTGCCAAAATAATTAGTTAATGAGTATATTCCACCCAACATAGTACCAAATCATGCCAGAAGTAGAGGCTTACCCTTCCTTTCCAAGTAAACCTCACCTCTATGTCCCATGTCGGAGAGGGAGATCAAAGCAAGGCCTGGGAGCCTGGAGCTTTGCACAGAGTGAGAAAGGATATTTTTGGCCTCCCTGGTTCTGACTCATGCTGACTGGAGGATATTTTTCTCCATTCTTTTCCGTATTTGCACAAGGTATGTGGTTATGATACTTGTTTTTATCTTCCTCTCTAGACTGAGTCCCTGCTCTTAGGCATATTTGATAACAATTCTATGTGCAGAAGGCCCCACCCACCTTTCTGATTCTCTGAGGTGGTCCATACAGACAAAATGGTGCTTTTTACAAGGCGTTCGTTGAAGTAGAAAAGCTCCGCAGGTCTGCTTTTAGAAGGTTGTGTGATAAAGTAAATGTAAACTGTGCCTATGTGAAGTTTTCATTATTGTGTATTTTAGAGTTTTCTAGCTTGTTGGGTCAGAGTTTTCCAACTTGAGTGACTGTGGAATCCCTTTTTCTTCTTCTTGGAATTCTTCTTCTTCTTCTTCTTCTTCTTCTTCTTCTTCTTCTTCTTCTTCTTCTTCT